TTTGGGGGGCCCTGGGGCAGCGCTGCCGGGGCCGGGGGGTCCTTGCGGGCCCGGGGCAGAGCCGGTGGGGCGGGCGGCGCAGCCCCCGGCGGTCCCGGTGCACGGGGCCGCCTCCATGTTCTGCCGGAGCGGCCGCATCCCGCCTGGGGCGCGGGAGGGCCCGGGGGTCCCGGCAGGGCCCGGGGGTCCCGGCAGGGCCTGGCCCGCACGGGCGGCACTCTTGACGTCCTGGCCCCCCCTGCGCCCTCCTGGTCAGGGCCCCAGGCGCCCGTCCCCATGAGCAGGACGGCCCAGGGCACGAGGTGCGAGCGGGACAGCGGGGGGGCAGCCCCGGAGCAGCCCCTCCTGCCCCCCGTTCCCGTGTCCCCTGCGCAAGGTGACTGCGGAGGCCGCGCAGGGACCTGGGGGAAACTTCTGCCCCCGAGTCCCCGCGGGTGACCTTGGCCGTGTCCCTCGAGTCCCCGCGGCGGCCCCAGGAGGGCCCGTGCCCGGGGGTGTCGCCTCCTCCCCTGCCTCTCCAGTGCCAGCTCCAGCCCCGCTTTCCAAGCGGTCGCATGTTCCGCTGCCAAGGGGGGCCCGGGCTGCGGCGGTGGCACGAGGCCGAGGCGCTGAGGAGGACGCTGAGCTGGGAGGAAGGGGCCCCGGGCGCCTCCTGCTCCCCGCTGCCTTTGCTCGGTGCCCAGCACCTTTCGTGTGTTGTTCAAGGGCTCCTCTCACCTGCCGCAGCAGCTCAAGTTCACAACCTCGGACTCCTGCGACCGCATCAAGGATGAGTTCCAGCTCCTGCAGGCCCAGTATCACAGGTGGGTGCTCCTGCGTGCCGCAGGGTCCTCCACGCTCTGTCCCATGGCAGGGAACGCTGAKAACGGTTCCGTTTAGAGCTGATAATTGCTCGGGGTGCCCGTTCCTGGCAGGACCTTGATGGTCTGCGTCAGAGCTTCCTCCCCTGACGTTTTGGGGGGCTTCTTCCCCAGAGAAGAACATCTTGCAGTGCCCACCCTGGGCTCCCCAGGAGCGATCGSCCCCAGTGCCCAGCAGCCCTATAGCGGGGCTGTATAGGGCACTGCTCTTGCCTGCCRTATAGCGGGGCTGGCAGGAGGTGACAGGACACAGAAGAATCGCTCTGATTCTGCTGCCCCGTTGCCTTGCAGTGTGGATCCAAGCGGGACACTGAGGGAGAGACCGGATTGTGCAGCTTGGGTCACGTTTGGTTAAAGCGGGACCTCGGGGAAGGGAGTAATCCTGTCCRCTTAGGAGCCCGGAAAGGAGAACATTCAATGCCCCTTGTGCAGCCAGGGGCTCTCSTCCGCGCGCCGCTCGGCCAGGACCGCGCCGGGCCTTGCCAGGCCTCCCGTGTCTTGCTGGGAATTCCTGCTCACTTCTTGCTGGCTGCCATTCCTGGACTGCAAATGCTGCATGGAGCTTAAATCCAAACGCATCCGCTTTGGTGCATGTCAGAGAGCAGATACTGCTGACCTGCAGGTTGGCCTGGGATGGTTGCTCGCTTTTTGGGTGTGTTTCTTGAATAAACGCAACCCCCCCCCCGAGCTTAAATGGGCTCGGTGATGGCCTCTGCTGTGGTGCAAACAGCTGCCAGGATTGTGCTTTGTGCCTCTGTGGCCGTGGCAGCGTGAGCCCTGCTCTGATTTCTCGTGCACCATTCGCCTTGGCTTGGGCTCTGCTGCTCCTTTGGGTCCTGCACGGGCAGCGGTGTCATCCTGGCGGGAGGCAGCCCAAGGAACGGCTTGGGAACGGCTCTTCCTGGCGGCCCTCCAGCTGAGAGCAGTGCTGGGGCTGGAACAGGGGACCCCAAGAGGTATTTGTGGCTTCCCGCGCCACCGCGCTTGGCCGTGAGCCGCTGGAAGAGAAGCGGGCTTGGGGAGGTGACGCCGTTTCTTGTTGGAAACCTAAAACCGCAGCACGCGCTGCCGCGGCGCCTGAGCTGCAGCTCCACACAACTGGGAGAGCAACGGTGGCTCTTAAGGGTGCAAAGCACCTAGCGGGGGAAAATCCTCTCTTCTGGCGGGATGTGCCGCCCTTGGGCCTCCCCTCRTCGTCTGGAAAGGACATGGCTTTATGTTTTAGGTTGGATAAAGCGCTTCTGGAGCCCACAGGCATGTCCACGCTAGCGTTCCTGTCCTGCTAGGGCTGAGCTGAGGGAGGCTGAGATCCTTCTCGAGCTGCGACTGCAGGTCCCTCGGGGTCTCAGTGGCCAACCTTGTGCTGCCGGCTTCTCTTCAGCTTTAATAATCGTATGTTTTGGCAGGACTCTGAGAAGGGGCTCTATTGCAATAGCTGCTAGACAGCACAAACACAGCGTGGCCAGAGCTCAGACCTACCGTTTAGTGCTCGAGTGGAGACATCTCCACTGCGAAAACGCGAGGAGCGGCTGTTCCCCGCTCGCTGCCGAGCGACCCTCTCACCTCCTGTTTGCTTTTCTTGCTGTTTTCTGGCTTCCAGCTTGAAGTTGGAATGTGACAAACTGGCGAGCGAGAAGTCGGAGATGCAGCGTCACTACGTCATGGTAAGGAGCTGCGCGGCCGCGGGCTGAGACGCGCGGGGCAAACGCAGCCGTGGAGCGGGTGCTCGTGCCGGGGTTCGTGCGGCGGGGGGCTCTGCCCGTGCAACGGCAGCTCTGCGGGCTGCYGCTGCTTCATCCCCGCAGGTAGCATTATCCGGGCTTTTGTGTTGTCCCATGCCGTGCGTTGTTGAGATGCGGGAACTGGCGGAGTTGTTGCGTGTAGGACGTTGATGGGCCCGGGGAGCGGTCGATAGGATAGGTGATGGTGGTGGCGGTCTGCCCCTGGTGCCCTAAGGGAAGACTAAAGCACTAAAGACTAGAGGAAGGGCTTCTTTGCCCCTGCATCGATTGGGGAAGGGCAGGAAGGGACACGAGGCAGCACGGCCGGTGTGGAGCGTGTGCCCTGGCACCAGCGAGAGGCACGGGAGGGTGCCGCAGGTCTAGCAGGGTTGGTGCGGGGTAGCACCGCACCCGAGCCCAGTGGTAACGGGCAGGAAGAGCCCGGTTTGCCCGCGAGACGAGCCGCGGCTGAACTGGTGCTGGCGCCCGCGACGGGACACCGGCGGCGGCGGGCAGGGGCCGTGCCGGGCCCTGCGGAGCGGAGCCTGCTCCCGGCTGCACGCCCGCTCCGGAACCTGCCCGTGTGCTGCACGCGCGGCGCGGCCGCCCGCCGCCTGCGTGGCCTTGTCCTCTGTGCCCGGCCGAGGGGGACAGCTCCCGTGTGCCCGAGGAGGAGCTGCCAGCCCCAGCGGGGTCACGTCTGGAGGCTCGGGGGGATGTCCTGCTGGCAGGGGATGGAGAAAGCCGCGGCAAGGGATGGAGAATGCTCTGCTGTGGGACCTCGTGAAGTCGGGGAACCACGTGAGCCTCGTAGGAGCTGGAAGCAGGAGTCATCTGCTAACAGGAGTCATCTGCAGTGCAAACGTTGAGGCCTCCTGCACGTTGCCCTGGCCCAGCAGCTGGGCAGAGTCACCGATGAAGCGCCGGCCTCTTGCCTGTGTGTGTCCCAGCACAGAGTCAGAGCAGCGCCTGGGAGAGGCCGAAGAAATGGTGCCACGTGAAGGCTGTGGACTTGATAGGAGCTCTGTAAAGAAAGAAATCCTCCAGGAGCAATTGGGCCTATTCTTGTAGGTAGGGTAAGAGTTCAGCTCCCCGGTAATGCTTCTTCCATTCCACCTATGGAAAAGGCCCTGGCAGCACCTGGGGCAGCAGGGCAGGCTGTAATTACCTGGGGTTCGTGGGGTTGTCCATAAAGCCGAGCTGGTGCCAGCCTGCCAGCTGCAGGGCGAGGAAGAGATAAGACGTAGGAGCGAATCCAGAGAAGAGCTCTGAATTCAACGGGAGCAACAGCAGAGCTGGCCCTGCCTCCTCCTCCGCCATCCGCGTGCCCAGGACCTGCCTGGGCTGGGAGCCGGCGGCAGCAGCTCGCTGGCCCCGTTCTGTAGCAGAGGGGAAGCCTCTCGCTGACGGGTTTCATTCCGTGCCCGTTCTCCCCGCTGAGAGGTCACCTCGCTGCGTGGAGCCTCGCTGCCGAGCGCCACTGCCGGAGCCTCCTGCCCAGCCTCCTGCCGTGCCGGAGCCCCCGGCCGGGATTTGGGCCGCTCTTGGTGGCGCTGGGGAGGAGGAGGCTCTCGCTGACCCCACAGGGCTCTGGCTTTTCCTGCAGCCTGGAAGCCTGGGGGGGCTCCTGCCCGGGGGCGGCCGCAGCGCTCCGGGATCCGGGATCCGCCCGGGCGGCTGTCGCCCTCGGCAGGAAGCGCGGAGCGTTCCTGGGAGCGCCCGGAGCCGCTGCAGCTGCCGCGATTCTCAATGAGCAGCAATTAGCAGCGCGGGGTCAAGTTCCCGCTTCCTGCTCCGGGCTCCAGCGTGCACGGAAACCTCGAGAAGCGGCAGCGCGGCTGGATCAGGGCGAGATGACGGCGATACCGGGGCGGGCGCTTGGCCGGCTCCTGCAGTCGCTGCCGCAACCCAGGACACAGTCGTCTTTCATTTGAATTAAACGAGTGCAGACATGGATTTTCTCTCCCTTTGGAAGAGTCAGGATTACAGCAGGCAAGCGGAGGGAGATTCCTAAACTCTCCAACATCAGCCTTAAAACAGCTATTTTAGGAGGTCAGGAATTAGTTCCTCCTGCCAATAGATCGCTCTGTAGTTGCCTGTTGTGTTTTTCTTGGTGCGTGGGTGGGTTTTTTCCCTCTTTTTGACACAGCTTCTCCGCAGGCAGCTGGAGCTGCGTGCAGCTGGCTGTGCTAGAAGCYGGGTGGGATCTCTCCCGTTTGCTGCGGGAGCAGCCACGTGGGCCGCGGGACACGAGCCAGGCAAAGCTTGCTCGAGTCGAGCTGCCTCTCCCTTGGCCTCGGACGTAGCTGCGGGAAGCGCGTGGGGCCACGAGCCTCTCCGCGCATTCGAGGTGCTGGTGCTCGCCGTGCTGCAGAGCACCCAAGGGTGTCCGTGCCAGGTGGCGGGTGAGGCCRATTCCATCTGGAACGGCTCTAGGCTGGAGCGGGGTGGGCAGAGAGCGCCTGGATTTGGATTCCTCGGACCTGGAGAAGATGTAGGTCTGTATTTGGGTTTGCCAGGTGCTCTATTTGTCCATCTGGGAGCAGGCTGCCTTTTTTCCTTCTATTCTTGCCTAGTTTTCATTGAAAACTGTTAGAAAAGTGCATGGCTGCATGCAACTGCTTTATGTTATGGAGATTTGACTCGTACTTTTTAACGCTCGTCTCCCCTGCTCTGCAGTATTACGAGATGTCCTACGGGCTGAACATCGAGATGCACAAACAGGTAGGGGGGCATTTCCAGTGGCCCCTGCGCAGGGGACGTTGCTGCTCTGCTCTCTGCTGCCCCGCATTTGGGCATTCCTGAAACACCTGGGGCAAATGCTCTGGATTTGGGCATTCCCAGAACGCCAGGGGCGAATGCCCTGGACCTGGGGAGCGGAGCGGGGCAGGAGGGTCCGAGGAGGCTCGGAGCAGCCGCCGTCTCCGCGGGCAGAGCCGGGTGTTGGCAGCAGCACGAGCCCCTGCCCGTGTTCCCGCACGGAATGTAATTCAACACATCCCCACCTGGGTCTAGAACATTTTTTGTTCCTCTGACTTCATTAAATGAATATTGGAAGCCCTGAAAGGGAAGAGTGCTGCAGCTTGGCTCTGTGCAAGCAGCAGCGCTGATTTATTGAAGGATTTGGGGAGGGGGCTCGGGGGCAGGACCGCCCTCGCCGCCCCGCAGAGCACAGGGATGCAGCGGGACGTTCCGGGTGCCTGTGGATGACATTGGGCCCCGCTGGAGCTGGGGTCCGGCCTCGGGCGGGAGGGGAGCTGGGCAGCGCGTGCTCGGGGGTCGTGCAGCCCCTACCCCTCTCGTCTCACGTCTCTCTTCTTGTCTCTCTCGTTTGCTTTTCCCGTGTGTTGCAGGCTGAAATTGTGAAGAGGTTAAATGGGATTTGTGCTCAGGTCCTGCCCTACCTTTCACAAGAGGTAACTGGCTCTGGTGGAATGGGGGGCTTTGGTGGCAGAGGGGTGGAGGCTCCTGTCCCCTCTCTGAGCCCAGGCCACTTGGGCATCCGGGCACGGGAACACGGACACAGGAGGCTGGAACACCTCGGTGCTGCTCCGAGCCGCCGCCCGGGACGAGCCCGTCGGGAGCAGCCCCGCAGCCCCCGGGCTCAGCCGAGCCCTCCGTGCACAAAGATGGGCTCTGTTCTCCCGCTGCTCCCAGGATTCCCGAGGCTGCGGCCGCCGCTCCAAGGGGCTGGAGCTAATGCGGGGAGGGAATGGGTTTAAAAAACCACCTCGGGGTGGCTCCTCCTTGAGATGTGCTTCCTGTGCCTCGTTAATTAATGCAGCTAACGAGCCCCTCCCACTGCACCGAGATCAATGGGGAGATGGGGCGGGAGGG